TTTTTTGTGCTCGTATATACTCTGGAATTGCTAGTAAAATAATTTGATAAATGACCATAAAGAATAGGAGAAGGGCTTCCGTGGTGGCGCAGTGGTTGAGAGTCCGCCTGCCGATGCAAGGGACACGGGTTCGTGCCCTGATCCGCGGAGCAGCTGGGCCCGTGAGCCATGGCCGCTGAGCCTGCGCGTCCGGAGCCTGTGCTCCGCAATGGGAGAGGCCACAACAGTGAGAGGCCCGCGTACCGCAAAAAAAAAAAAAAAGAATAGGAGAAATAGTAAGGGATCTAATACGTATACTGATCAACCTATGACTAATTGAACTTGTAAATTAAGCCATCATTCTTACCCCTTACTTGGCATCTTTCATGCCAGATGACAAGGATTCTTTTCCCGACCAAACTTTAGTCAGGCTCCTGAACCTTCTTTTAGGCTTATCTGTGTACTTCCTTGTAAAACTGAATTTCAGCAAGAACCCTGCTAAGTCAGTTTAGCAAGAGCCCCCCACCCTCAGTATCTGTTCTCTCGCATATCTGATTAGGTTCTTCATCCTCTACCATCCCTCAGGTGATGTCTCATCACCCTGGCCTGTCATCAGCAAGAATCTTGTTAGGTTAGTTTAACCAGAATCCCCTTTACCCCTTATGTTTCCTCCACCCTGGTCCTTGGCTGTTAATTCCCACTGGCCCATGGTGTATTCAAAACTGAGCCTGGTTTATATACTGAGATCTCTTAGCCACTATTGCAATAGTCCTGAATAAAATCCATTTTTTACTGCTTTAACTACTGTCCAGCTCTGGTTTTCTTTGACACAGTTGAGAGAAAGATTCTTTTTTTGCAAAAGACTATTGTCTTTATTTTTGTGTCCGCTTTGCCTGGCACTTAGTAGTTCTTTAGTAATGCTTTTGAATGAATAAATGATAGCTAGTTTGAACCCCTTCTAGATTTTCATGAATCTTTGATATTTATGGTGTATATGCCCTTCTCATTTTTTTATACTTAGCAATATCTGCTTTTTGTTATTAGGAACCTGCAAACAGGCCGTTGGATGTGTTTATATTGATACATGGCTTTTATTCCTTACCTTACGTTGGGCCATCTTAATAACATCAGTTGGTTACTAAAGAAATAATTATATTACGCCAGGTCCAGAGAACTGACTTTTTGTAGAACTCAGTGGCAGACTCCATCCTCATTCCATTAAAAAAAAAAAGATAGATATACATATGTATACACACAGAATCAGAGAATCAGTTTTCTTATTTGCACATTGACCATTTTAGGATATACTTCTGGCTCTGACAAAACTATTTAAGAAAGATTCTATGGGGCTTCCCTGGCGGCACAGTGGTTGAGAGTCCGCCTGCCGATGCAGGGGACACGGGTTCGTGCCCCGGTCCAGGAAGATCCCACACACCGCGGAGCGGCTGGGCCCATGAGCCATGGCTGCTGAGCTTGCGCGTCCGGAGCCTGTGCTCCGCAGCGGGAGAGGCCACAACAGTGAGAAGCCCTCGTACCGCAAAAAAAAAAAAAAAAAAGTAAGATTCTATGAAATTACCCCAATTATTAAAATCATTCTCTAAACCTTGGATTTTCTTCACTTTTCTGCCAGCATTCAGATAACTTTCTCTCTTTTAAATGAATACCAATTTTTATCATTCATGCATTCTGAGCACATGAGCCTTTTCCTTGGCCCATAGGACAGCCTTTTTATGCATCTTTGTTTTCCTGTTCTAAGATCACCACTGAGAGCGTTTCACTTTCTTTTGGAAATGTCTCTAAATATGTGTATCCCCTTGTCTGTCATTTATTGCTTAGTTCTAAAGAATGCTTGAGTTTCATCCTGAAGAATAGATTGAGAAACAGATGACAGACTTGAATGCCGTGCCTGGACACGTGATCTACCTGTCAAGCAGTACAGTTACAAATGGGCTGTGAGTTAAATTCTAGTGAATGGCAGTATCATTATTCAAGATTTCACCTTTTGTCTCAGTCTTTATACTACAGAAATGTGTTGCTATTTGTTTTTGAGGAGGCATCAGTTTGACCTCTCATTATCAGAGGTTAGTTTTAAGTATCAAATAGAAATAAGCAATGGCATTCTTTATATGTAGCAATTGATACAGCAGACTGGGAATGAAAGAAATTTTTAGAATGATGTTAACTGGAAATTCTTTTTAAGTGGGGAGACAGATCATTATTGTTAAATATTTCATTTTTAAAAAAGACATCACTTTAAAGTTAAAAGCAAGAATGATGGAAATGAAAAGGAGCAAGAGATTGAGGGAATGATTGAAGAATAATTGTAGGGGGACTTCCCTGGTGGTCCAGTGGTTAAGACTCCACGCTTCCAATGCAGGGGGCGTGGGTTCGATCTGGGTGGGGAGCTAAGATCCCGCGTGCCACGCGGTTGGGGCCAAAAAAAAAAGAATAATTGTAGGTATTTAAGAAAGAGGGCCTTCTTCCTCCCATTGTGATCTCTCTTCAGTGAAAATGGCAAAACAAAAGGCAGCAAAATCGGAAGGAAGCAGGAAATCCTAGTTAGTGACCGACAGATTTGAATATTTAAGAGCCATGAAAATGCTTGGTTCTGTTACATTTTAATTCTCTTCCCCAAAACTTATTTTTGCCTTTTTTTCTGCTTTTAGAAAGTCTTGATTTTTCATCTCTATTTCCTAGCAATGAAATAAAATTTGGAAGCCATAAATTGTGATGTGATTGTGCAAAACCAAGTTAAATTTTGAATTCTGTGGTTTGAGGAAAACCATTCCAGAATTTATTTAATCAACTTTCTCTACCAGTGCTGCCCCACTTCTCAGCCAAGACCCTTTTCCTCCTCTAAATCGGTAGAAAACTGAGAAAACTTAGCCTCAAAAAACATAATTAAGGTAAAAATAAGGAATCCTGCCTGCTTATGTTACATCTGCTCTATCCCTTGTAGTTTACTTCCTGATTGAAAATAGGTTAGAGGATCTTGTTGAAATAAAATTCTCATTTAGTGATTTTATTAGAAAAGCAGGTTCTGGGACTAGGATGTAAAATTACCTCCAGCACAGCAGTTGTTAGGAATTTTTCCAGAGATCAGTTGCTTTCCAGAAATGTTCTGAGTTTTCAGCCATAATGGCATTGGTCTTTGCATTTATTTACTGTTGTATATTTGTATTTATTTTTTGCACTGTGTTGTAGTTCTAGGAAGTGTATTTAAAACAAACGAACAAACCAGAAGACCTCCTTGTCCTGGGGCTGTGTGAAGAATAAAGCTCTCATTTTCCCAGTACCAAGCATCAGCTTGAGCTGGCCTCTCCCAGGAACAGAATTTATTGAAGCAATTTATCCTGGCTAAATGTGATATAAATCTGTGTACACCTATGTACATACAGGCTCTCTTCCATTACAGCAGTGCTGCAGCATCAGTTTCCTTCCTAGTCAGACCCTGTTCCTATCACAATGAAGGATTGCTAAGAAGCCCTTTGTATTTTATGGGGCACCCCACAATTTTAAACAGCGATTAGTTGTGGAATTACTGATCAGACTACCAGAAATACGGGTTTCCAACCCTAGAGTGAGTCTTAAGAGAGTAGGAGAGATGTTACCACTGCCCTCTGAGTTTTAGGCATGGTTTTCTGATTGCCAGATTTGGTCTAGCACTTTAATATTTATTTTGACGTAGATCTGACTGAGGTTAACCTGACATTTTGGTTTATCTCCAAGATGAAAATTCGAAATTTGGTTATAGTTCTGAAGTCGTTTCTACGCATATTCAAATTGTAGTTCTTCCTCTTTCATCTTCCCTTGTTCGTATTCTTTCATACAGCTTTCTGTCTTGTAGAAGGATGTTTGAAAATGTCCTTTAGGAGTTTATTTTATAAAGACTATTTTTGTGACCCCCCCTTTTTTCTCTTTCACTCTTTCAAAATACTCTGTATCTTTTAGGAATATTTTTACTATGATTTGCATTTCTAATCCTTATCCATCTCCACCTCTATTTTTATTCCTAGTTGGGATATGAGAAATTTCCCCAACACATTCATTTGGAGTTATTGTTCTTTGACAAAGAATTTTGATCAACATTTCAAAAGTTTAGCTTCAATAATTAAAAAACAACAACAGTATAAACCCTGTTAAATTCTAAAGAGAAATGGAGAGGATGGATGGTGATGCCTTTTAGTGCCATTTCTTTTATCCCCTGCAGCAGCACACATCTGTTGGCTGCAACAGAGCAGCCCAAGAACTCTGGCCGAGAGCAGCACAAACAGCCGGAACATATTCACCCAGTAAACCCCCAAAGAGTCGACATTTGTTTTATTGCTGCTTTTAAAAACCTAGCCATAAATAGAATCAGGGGGGAAGGGCACCGATATTTCTCCATTTGCCACCGACGATTGGTGGGGGGAGAAGGAGGCTCCCTGTGGGGAGAGAAGGGTTTTATTTTTATTTTTTTATTAATGAAAATCATTTCCCATGTAGCCCAATAGGATGGGTGCTTTGTTTTCTTTGGCAATAATCTGGGATAAACGGCCCTTGCCAACAGTCTCATTGTTTATACACCAGGGAGCCAGATTATGGCCCTGTAAAATGGAGCACCCCTCCTATAATCCCTTAATTAATTAAATGACAAATTTTGGTCTTCTCTAGTTCAGAAATATGGCTTCCGCATCGAGCGTTCAGTGGATTTATTGACATAGGGAACTGCACTGGTTGTAATTCAGCATACTGGAGAAGTGTGTTATATACTGTAGCAGAAAGAGGGAAAAATCTAGTAAAAGGCTTGAAATTCCTTGACTCTTTAGGTTTAAATTTTTCTAATTAAAAGTTTCAACCGAGGCACAGTAGATCATATGCCACCTGTCTAATGGGTCTCCCCAAAGTAGCCTGTGTTTACAGCTTTGATAGACGGCATTCTTGGAACACCTGTTTCTAGGCTCGATATTTTTGAAGCACTTTTTTTTTTTTTAACTCCAACGTATTTAACATAACTTTTCCCCCTACCTCCCCCTCCTCAGCTCCGCTCTGCTATATGAAATATGGGAGACGACAGACCGTTTGTGTGCAATGCCCCGGGCTGTGGACAGGTACGTTTACAATATACTTTATTGTGAATGTCTCGTTGTGAATCAAAGTGGCTGTTTTATCACTGAGGCAAAGAGTTTAAAGCCAGTGTTTTACGTGATCACTGGAGGTAATCAGATCAGAGGATTTGTAGTGTGTAAATCCAAGTTATGAGGAAATGTAGACACTCTACCGTAATGAAATCTGCCTTGCTGTCTTTCATATTGTTATTCTGCTGGTGTTTGTTTCGCAACACACAGTGTTGAGGAATACATGTTGCTCTCGCCTCCTTTCTAAAGCTATTTATTTAAATACAAAGCAAGTTTAGAAATATCCTTTCTTCAACCTTCATGGATGTAAAAGTCTGCTCAACATATTTGGATAGGAAGCTGAAAATGCACCCATTCATTTTGAACCTCAATTTGCCAGAGTCTATTTTGGATTTTCTAGATAAGAAAAAGTTTCTTTTGACTGTTGATCAAGAAAATCATTGTTAGCAGCTAAGGCAAATACCTGTCTAGGAAGGACAAATCCAACATAGAATCCGAGATCTCACAGCAGTGTATCAGCTACAAGTTTTCTCAGCCATTTTCCCTGTCTGACACCATTAAATGCCTTGTTCTGTGTGTTAGCTGCCATGTTATTGTTTGTATGCGTATACATTGTGTCAAATATTTTTCATCATGTACTTTTTAAATAATTTTGTTGAAACTGCCTTTTTTTTTTTTCATTTTGTACCTTCTTAACACTTATTCCTAGATCCTCCCATTCTGCCATGTTCCACAAAGGATGAAGAAAGGAATACAAAGAAAGTTTTATTTAAGAGAGTTTTATTTGCCTTCAACAGTTGATTTTATGGAGCCTGAAGGGTTGAATTTCTTTTCAGTTAGGAATATGTCATGTGACTGTCCAGTGACACTTACTGGTAGTATGTGAGATTGCAGACTAGTTCTATTAAACATTGTAAATACTTAGAGAAGTATAAAAAGAAGAGAGTTAAGTTCCAGAGATTCCTAAGAATTGAAATTTGAGAGACAAATAGGGTTGGTGACAAGGAATGGGCAGAAGGATGACTCCAAATTCCAGTAAATGCTGAAAATTTCATAAAAGACTAAAAAAGCCAATTCTGAAGTATTTAGCATTGTAGAGTTTATTTCCTTCCTTGTCAAAGCTTTCAACTGTATTGTTTGTTGACTGCATGTTTTCCTCATATGGTTTGTGTGTGTGTGTGTATGTGTGTATATATATATTTTTTTACAATAGAAGCCACTTGGGAAAATAGAGTAAATTTGTTTAACTTTTCAGACAGCTTTATGGGAGTACATACCTGAATCTGATTCCTCCAAATTTGTGTGTGTGAATTTGTTGATTATAGTGCTTACTGTGACTCCCATAATAGTTACGCGGTACCCTTTTTACTTATCTCACTTACTTTAAAGAATCTGCACTTTTGGTGAAAAAATTTGTTTTTCTTCACTTATTGTTTAAGCTGCTCAGTGCCCCTCTTATGTATTGTATGCTTAAGACTACCCAGACAAGGAGTTAAATAAATAAAAATGGATGGTAAAAATAAAGGAATACATAGGAAAAGCATCTCTTAAGCTTTCTGAGAAAGAAAATATATCAGTAGGGTTTCTTCAGGCTATCTCATCAGAAAAAAGTAGTTTTCACTGAGATTTGTGAGATCCCAGAAGGGCTTTGTGTTTGTTTCTTTGTTTTTGTTTTGCATTATTTTGGACTAGAGGTAGGAAAACAGGGATTTTTACTTTGGGTCCTTCTTGTATTGTTGGGTTCTGTTTACCATAAGCCTTTTCCTTCCCCTACTTTTCCCTCCCATTTCTGAATTGTTTGTTGGTATTTTGGTCATTAGGATTCATTATAACCTCTGGCATAGATCCTGAGGCTTTTTTTTCCCTCAGTGAGTGTGGAACTGAGGGAGATTGCTACCTTCTTTTGGATTCAAGTTACCTGTTTCATAGAAAAAAGGATAAAAAGCTACAACTTAAGGCTTTGAGGTAGCATGATTCATCCTTTTACCTGCTTTGCCTGTCAAAACTTTATGGTCAGGTGAGATTGTAGTTCTTTTAATATTTATTTACTTGCTTATTTATTTATTTGGTTGCACTGGGTCTTAGTTGCTGCAGGTGGGCTCCTTACTTGTGGCATGCGAACTCTTAGTTGTGGCATGCATGTGGGATCTAGTTCCCTGACCAGGGATTAAACCCAGGCCCCCTGCGTTGGGAACACGGAGTCTTATCCACTGCGCCATCAAGGAAGTCCCGAGATTGTAGTTCTTTAGTTATATTTAGTCTCCTTTCAGGTTTCTCCCAATATCTAGTAACAAATAACTCTAGAGTGGGATCTCTACAAGATTTACTATGATTGCTTTATGTTATATGAAATAGTGAAAATCTGACAGAGAAGATAAATTTGGTAAAGTGAACTACCCTTGGCCTGTCGTCCCAACTTCCTTATTACCTTGAAAATGGTTTCATTCTGGAGCCACTTTGAGGCCTTCAAGCCTATTTATAATCAGTTGTCACTGATTCATTGATTACTCCAGATATGGTAGAATAATAAAAAGGCTATGTAAGTCCCAGGAGGGGTAATAAGGACCATGATCATTTTTGCAAGGCATGTTTAGAACTCAGCAGCCATAGAAGTCTCAAAAATCAGTGGCTTCTACCAGTTAGAGGAAGAAGGAATGAAAGCAAATTATAATTCAAGAGACTGATCCATAAAAAAACCAACCAACAAAAGCTGTAGGAATCTTGTATTATTTAAATATCTGTTCTCTGCCCAGATTTTACCCTGTGTACCCTTAAATTCAGAAATCATCTTATGCCATAATATTAAGGGGAGGTGAAAGGAAAATTCACCTAAAATAGACTAGTGGATTATGCGCTGCACCATATAATCAAAACCACCGGGCTTTCAATGGATACGTAAACATGTTTTGGTTGCTAGGTCTTTAATGGCTGTTATTTTTGGACTCTGTTCATGATCCACTTCCCAACAGTAAGTCTGATGTGACACAGCTGAGTTCTAAATATGCTACATGTACTTTTTAAAAAAAGATGGCTGCTGAAGTTTGTGTTCTTTGCATTCTTATCTGAAAAGACAGGTGATAGGGTTTTTTGAGCTAACTTATTCCTATTCTCCTGTTGAGTCTCTGTTTCTCTTGAGGCCTCATCACCCTCATGAAGAGGAACTCAGGGAAAGTAATATTCCTGCTAATATGTCTTTACAGAATGTGGTAGCAGGAATAGTTAATAGAGCTGCTTTTGGAGAATGGGTTAGTGTTAAGGCAGCAGAGCCCCAGATACCCTGTGGTAAAGCGCTGGTTGAATTTGAGTTGTATGGGGTTCAGAAATGTTTATAAGATAGCATCTATTTAAAAAACATTGTAACTATAAAATAGCTTTGCCTCTGTGTTATTAAAATATTAGAAATACAGTTTGGTGCTGAATCTAGGAAGTCTTGTAAGTTTTTAATGCTTGGGGGGCACTTTTACTTGAAGGTGGATTATAAAGTTCTGTTGCATGTGGAAGCAGGAAAAATTACTGTGTGTCAGTAATCTTGAATTTGAGATGTTACTTCATGTGGATACAGTTCGATATCTTACCTTTTGGATGCCTTTTGTCCTTTTTTTTTTTTTGGCCATGCCTCCAGGCTTGTGGGATTTTAGTTCCATGACCAGGGATTGAACCCGGGCCCTCAGCAGTGACAGCATGGAGTCCTAACCACTGGACCACCAGGGAATTCCCTTAAAATGTTTTATTGGAAATTTGTACCTTTTTTTTTTTTTTGGCCGCACAGCACTGCCTGTGGGATCTTAGTTCCCCAGCCAGGGATCGAACCCGTGCCCCCTGCAGTGGAAGCTCAAAGTCCTAACCACTGGACTGCCAGGGAATTCCTTGTCCAATCTTTATTACCAGGAGTCAACAATTTCCATATTCCTATACCTCCCTTTCAGGCCCATGATGCTAGTTTGCAGTATGAATTATGCAGATTTAAGTAGTCCTGGTTACCACCATCAAGTCTTTGAGCAGAAGCTGGTTGTATAAGCTTCTTACTTAGAATGTCTATTTCCTTAAGAACAGGAACACATTTCCTCTGAGAAGGTACTATTCATGGGTAGTATCATCCCATTATTAGCCATTTTTGAGAAAGGTTTCTGTCATAACCACTGTGTATCGACTCTGTCCTTTTAAGGAAAAATCCTTTGATTGTTTCTCTACCCATTGTGATGCTGAGGTGCTGTTATTCTATCCCCACCCCACCCCCACCGAGGATATCTACTACCAGATCTTTTCTTCTCCCGGAGAACATTTAGGTACAGGTTGATGTTCTGTTCATATCTTTCTGAGACACGACACGTATAACTAGTTCAAAGACCTCCGGAGCCTGCTTTCTCTTCCGAAGGCCAGGGTAGCAGTAGAACCCTAGTTGTGGTGGGATGGAGGGCAGCTTCTTTACATCCTTATCTTGTCATATAATAGGAATAATGTTTATGGTGCTGTAGTCCTGGCTTCACTTGGCATTTAACCAACCTCCAGTGCTGTTTATTGCTTCGTATCCTCTGCCTCCATGAACATTATCCCTTAAATCTCTATTGCTTTGTAATATATGAGGCAACAAATAGCTTCTATGATTGGTTAAATGCTGGCATGCTGCAAAGGTGTATATTTTATTGCCTATGTAACACAAATCTATAGAGATTATTCCTGTTATCCCAGCCCTCCCATGAAATAGGCTCTACTGGTACTGTGGGACTCTGGATTGTTAGTTCTGTCCCTTTGGCAAGTTTTCCTATTAACTGGCATTGGCACAAAAGAAAAGCAAGGAAGAATGGCTGGTGTTGATTACTAATTCTTTATGTTAGGGGAGCATCTTGAATTGGAGAATAACATAGGAAAAAATGGCTCTGGTACATAAACACCACTTGTGGTGATATGTGCTGTGATATGTGCTATCTTTACATGCTTCAACAGGTGAAAACAATTTCAGGCAAACAAATAAG